ATTTATTCATACACTTTATTTATAAACATACATATTTATTAATCTCTGGAGAACTCTTAGAAATATTTTAAAATTGTGTTTTTATTAAAACATGTTTTTCATTCTTACATCACAATCAGTTCCTTGTAAGCCACAGGATTTTCATGTAAGAAGAGTTTACTGAAAAGTTTACTTAAAAACATTTGGATGGGAACGTTCCATATGATATTCATGACTGGAACAGCCCGGACAAAGAGTGGCTTTCTTTGTACACTAAGCCTTAGCAATGCCTACATTGTGATGCAAACCCACTATTAAATATACCCCAACTAAAGCCATTAGCTGTAGCTTTCCTCATAATTTAACTTCTAGGAATTGCACTCACTTGATCCCTGAATTTTGCATGAGATTAGATTGTAGGCTAATGCTTCTAACACAGATTCAGTGCAGATCTGCATGACTGAAGTTCCCATACAGTGCTATCAGTACAACAGGCAAGATGCTTTGCAAAATGCATTGATTTCCTGCCTTAGTCTGTGAGAATGTGAGAGACAGGGCGAGAGAGATACCAGTATACATAGACAATTGGAGTAATCACCCTTAGTGAGAAGAAATACTTTAAAGAATTTACTCTCTTAAACACATCAAAATTGTAACAAAGGACCTTCTCATTTTACTGCAGCATTTAAAAAGACCGAAGTGCCTTACCTTATAGAGGGAAGTGTGAGAAGACTAAAGCTGATTCCTGACTGGAGAATGCTTGGCTTTGAAGTGTCCTATCTTGAGAAAATTGTGGTTCTATTCCAACAGAAGTGGATAACAATAAAGTGGATATAACAGAGTAATCACTGTATCTTATAGTGATCTTATAAGAGCAATTTAGGGCTGTCAGTCCACCTACTGGCAAGTTTTTGGACAGCTAGAGGAAAGTGGAGAACCCATAAACACCCATGTGGACCTAAGGAGAACATATGAAACATATGAATTACAGAGTCAGTAACTGAGGCTCATGATTGAACCACAGACCCTGGAGCTGTGCCACAATGCCACCATGTGTTCTAATCAGTGAGTTTTTTTTTGTTTGTTTTTTTAACATTACATTCTCTCTCTAATTATCATTGCAGTATAAGTGCTATTAAGGTTAATCAAGATAATTGCTTACTACACGCTTAGCTAAGTAAATTATCTACTAGTTAGATAATGTATTTATCTAACACTGGAAAAAAGTACAAAGATTGGACATGCTGATAAACTAAAAGCTGCATAATTAATCACTTTCTTTGCTGGGTCTGATTTACTGCCACCAACTGGTAATTATGTAAACATTATTTTAAAAGAACAAAACACAATTTCATACTTACTTAATTCCAATCAAGGATGTGTGATTCACACTGTGATCTCATTATAATATTAGATCCTCACATAATGGTTTGGTGACACTGAAAATGGATTTCAGGTCAGACAAGTAGAACAGTCAAACATTTGCATACATTTATTCATTACATGCTTTTATCCAAAGACATTTACAGGTGTGGTAAAATCAAAGGCAAGCATAGAGCAGCTGAGGATCACAATCTTGCTATCATAAACCACTGAGCTACCACTAACAGGTTTCTGTGTCATGATTGCAAATTCATACCAATTTGTAAGAGCCAACAAGTGTTACAGAGGGTTAATCATCTGTGCATTTTGATCATTTATAACTGAGGCAAGTAAAAGCATTTAATGAAACATTTAATGAGAAGCTGCAACAACGTCTCACATATCACCCTTACCAGTGAAGTGAATAAGACTAAAAAGGATTCAATAATTTTCCAGGTAAATAAAAAATAAAATCCATAGGAATTTTCATGTCCTGTATAATTGACAATGTAATATCACGGGCAAAGATTAGGGTGATGCGGGTATTACAGTGAGGGGAATTAAGTATTCACACACATTATGTCTTTTGACTTAAAATAAATATGAGCAAAATACGGTCAGGTCCATAAATATTTGGATAGTGACACAATTTTTGTAATTTTGCCTCTGTACACCACCATAATGGATTTGAAGTGAAGCAATTATTTAAATAAAGGGGTTTAACAAAAATATTGCATTAACCATTGAGGAATTACAGACTTTTTTACAAAGTCCTTGAAACCCCTTGAATTAAAGCTGAAAGTCTACACTTCAGTCACATCTTTATTGCTTCATTTCAGATCCATTGTGGTGGTTTACAGAGGTAAAATTATGAAAACTTGGTCACTGTCCAGCTACTTATGGACCTGACTGTATGTATTCATTAGCATAAATACATATTTAACAATATGAAATTGATAGGGAAAAAGTAGTCAGACGGAACATAAAAAAAAAAAAAAAAAAAAAAAAAAAAAAAAAAAAAAAAAAAAAAAAAAAAAAAAAAAAAAAAAAAAAAAAAAAAAAAAAAAAAAAAAAAAAAAAAAAAAAAAAAAAAAAAAAAAAAAAAAAATAAAAAAAATATATATATATATATATATATATATATATATATATATATATATGTAAACGTTACCTAAAAATAGCTCACATTCTAGATATAAATGCTGAAAAAAACATGTTCTTGTTCAAACTGCACCTTGTATCACTATAAAAGTCATTTACACTGAGTGGGAAGATTTCATGCAACAAGTAACAATCAAGGTAAAGGAGCTCTTAGAACACTCGAATGGAAAACGCTACTGAGCCTTAGCGAAGACCTTAAATATCCCAGTCAATACAGTTGGTTCAATAATATACAGGTGGAAAGTTCACGGAACAGGTGCGCCACACAAAATTTAAATGCACCCTCAGACTAATGATAAGGAAAGTAAGAGAGAAACCAGAAATCACTCAAAAGAGTTGCAGGATGACCTGAAAGCAGCAGAAACAACAGTTAGTCAGAGAACAATAAGCAATGAACTGCACCACAGTAATCTCCATTCCTACATCCTATGCAAATCTCCTCAGCTAAAAAAGAAACACAGAGGAGTGCATCTAAAAGCATTTACTGTAGACAAATCGGAACTCTTTGGAATAAAAGACACAGCAAAAATAGATCTCTTTTCAGCTTATCACATTTGGAGAAAAACTTGAGGCAAGGCAAGGCAACATTTGAGTTACAGTACTGCAAAAAGCTAATGACTAGTTACCATAGACTTCTCAAGGATGTAACTGCCAACAACAGCTTTGCAACACTGAAGTGGTGCTAATGTTGGTATTTTGTGTTAGTAATTTGTGTCTGAATACTTTTCTCCCTATCAATTAAATTTTTTAAGACTATATTTGTTTATGGTTTCGAATAAATATTCTTTGTTCATATTTACAAATACAAAGTCAAAAGACATTATGTGTGGAAATTTCTAGTGGATATATGCAGTGGAAGAATATTAAATAACAAAACCAAAATTGTCCAAATACCTATTTCCCCTCACTGTAACCGGTGTATGGTCCAAATCTGATGTATGGTTCAGAAGAGTTTATTGAACATAATGTAACACCAAATTATAGCTGAATTCAAGATGTCAAGAAAATCTTACAGATCCATTATAAAAAGGTGTGTACGCATATGCAACCACGTTTTTTTTCTTTTTCTTTTTTCCCCTAAACATTTTCTGTTTGTTTTTACCTTGAATTTTGTTGATTGCTTCATCACTTTAAAGGTGGAAAACGACTGACATAATTTATATTGCTTTAATTTTTCACATCACAAAAAACTGCAATTTTAACGGGGGGGGGGGGGGGGGGGGGGGGGTGTAGACTTTTTATATCCACTGTATATATATTTTTGGATTGGGTGAGAACTGAGCATATCAGTAGGTAACTATCCAGTAGGCAATCCAGCTAAATCAGTCTTGCTAACCAAAATTACTATGAACCTTGTATAAGATTATCAGTAAGGGTTCTGATAGTTTTGCTAGTACAGGACGCTTAGTGGGGGAGTATCCTTGATTAACACTTTTTCCACTTTCCTCTCACGTTTTTTTACTCAGCTCTCAAGAAGCTGCTGAACATGATCTATTCTGAGTTTGTCTCTCCTAATAGGCACTGAATTACACACATCTGTAGATATATAAGTAGACATAACAGTGGACACACTGTCAGATTTTCGGTTATGTATGAATGTATTTATACAACAGCTTTAGAGGCTATGTGGATAAAAGCCATTGAGGACATCATGAAGTATACATCACCATGGATTTGCTTGGATCAAAGGCCTCACTATGAAAGATGAAAGAGTGTGTCATGGCCGTAATGATCATGTAGATGTAGAGTCAGAATGTATCATTGTATCTTGGATTCCTAGTGCTGCAGCTTCTAAGCATCCCTAAGAAAATCATCAAATCTCAGCAAATGTATCGATGTATCATTTAGTTTCTCCCCAGGACCAGGAAGAAAGAGCTGTGTATTTTCCCCCAACATGTTTTTTTTTACTCCCATGTCTCAAAATAACACTACTGCAAAGCTTAAAGAGCTTGCTTTTTCTGTCTCTCTGGCAGTTTTCAAAGTGGCATCCTGCTCACTACACAGGAGCTTGTTTTCTAATAGTGATTTTCCACCAGCCATTGTGGCATGGCTCAGCAAATTACCCATAATCCCCTGTGTTGTTGCTATTTCCAGCACCAAGTGAGCCATGCCATACTTAAGTACCCATGCTAAATTTGATTACCATTTTTACCCAGGTAGCATGCTGGCCGAGCCAGGACATACGGGTGTAGCTAAACATAGTGCAGACCATCGATTGATCAGACGCACTGATGTCCTGATTAATGTCTCTGCCTTATGTTACTTCCATACTGGCATAAAATTGTCAGTAGGAGGTGAGAATAATGGCTGCTTTCACTTTTGTCAAATGCCCTTTTTCTGGTGGATTTAAGAGACTTGCAATTTAAATAATATAAGCAATTAATGTCACCCCTCACCCAAACCACAATTTTAATTTATTTTACCAATTTTTTTTTCCCACAAGTATTCTATTACTATTTAACTTACTGATCTAACATTTACTGCCTGCAATTCCCTGTGGCAGTTGTAGTTCAGTGGTTAAAATGATGGGTGACTGGTCAGAAGGTTGTGAGTTCAAATCCCAGCACTGCCAAGCTGCCCCTACTGGGCCCTTGAGCAAAATGAGATAAATATAAGTCACTCTGCCATATGCCATGAATGTACCTAGTGCCCCCAGCCTCAGAAAAGATATGGTGTGTGTGTGTGTGTGTGTGTGTGTGTGTGTGTGTGTGTGTGTGTGTGTGTAGGTAGCTGTTAAATAAGTTTTGTCCTCTTCATTTTCACTAAACAAAATAAAGCATTGTCACAGACACACAGTGCCATTAAAATAATCTCAGTGTCTGATGCTTAGGACTTCACTATGAGAAGCAAATATGCATTTTAACATCAAAGGAGAGATGCCTGGTTACATTTCAAAATCATTTATTTGAATTTCTAGTAGCCTAGTATTTTACTACTCATACCTGCTGTATGAAGTCAGCTCCCAATAACCTCCAGAGAGACAACTTCAACTTTTACAGGTAGAGTTGAATTGAAATAAATATGAGATTTATACTTAAATTTTCAGTTACTCATGCCAGTTCTAAAATTTGAAACCTGAACTGAGGCTCGCTTTAGTACATCTTAATTTTACTTAGCATATCCTGATAATTTGGAAACTGTATGTGTTTCTTTGCTTGTCAAAGTGATATCAGAACTAAAGACAGTGCAGCAGAGAAACTTGACAACATTACAGCTACTGAGGCCACAGAACATTTAACAGAACAGTGCTTCTGAAACATGCTCAGTTTGTGTAAAATACCTACAGACGGTATCCCTAGCATTTATATGGATTTAAACACATATTGTTTTCAGTCAGATATTACTCAATAAGACTCAGTTCCATCTGATTTCAGTCCAACAGCACTGTGATGAATAATATATACAGTATGAGTGATGTTCTGTCACACTTCTGAATGAGATCAGTGTTCACACCAGTGACCAAGACGGTGGTCCGAAGAGGGTGGTGTAAGCTATGTTTATTTCTCACTGTCTTCCCTTACCTGTCTTCGTGGCGGTTTTCTTGTTCTTATCACAAACATCTGATGTGGAGAAATGCTACACACCAAATGCTGAAAAACAAACAAACAAATGAAATCTGATCTGCTTGGTCAAACTGAGTCACTTGAACACAAATCTTGAATACTTACAGCTTGACCAAACAGCCCTGAGACCATCAAATCTCATACAAATGTAGATTTCATATTATTTTCTGCTGTTCAGACTACTTTTTTCTCTGCTAAAATCAAAATGCCAAAAAAAATCTAAACAAACAAAAAACAAATACTTTTTATAAGCACAGAAATGATCCCCAAAACATTTTATAATCATATAAGTACTTTTTATTCATAGAGAATTCAAGTGTATAATTCAGTTCCAAAACATTAGATAATGTGATGACCTGGGGAGAAAAAGGCTTGGGACAAATAATATATTATTACATAAAATGATATTTATCCTTTTTTTTTTTTTTTTTTTTTTTTTTTAGCAAAAACGAAATGTGATCTGATTGATCAAGGAAACACAGTCTCACATTTAGCAAGACTTGTATAGATACAGCAACACAACACAGTGAAAATATCTTTCTTTAGATATTGTGTCCAATGAGAGTAAAATGCTACTGTACAATTTCCCGTTACACACTCTCACCCAAGTGTACAAAAAAACCCCCATTTTTTATAGTGTCAAGCAACCAGTCTGAATTACGTGTGAATATGATTGTGTAATTGTGTGAGAGGATGATAAACACTGCAAATTCTCTGAAAGATGAGAGAAGTCTACATATTAGTTCAACGAGAAAATAACACACCACTGCATCCCAGTCTAGCACAGAATTTGTAGGAATCGAGGGTGTAAAGCAACAACTGTATCTGTATCAGCATTTGTTTAGTGCTACAAATATCTGTACCTGTATCTGTATTTGGATAAACCCAAAGTGGTCATGGCCTAAAATGTGGCTTAAATATGAACCCTAGGTAGAAATGGCACCACTGTCAGCATGGTCTCTGTGAATTCTGGCTCTGACAGTTCCTCAACATCAGCTACATCACTCAGGTTCATAATTAGTCTCAATTAGAGATGTGCGTAGGACTGTTCTTGCACAGTTCTTAGTAGTAATATTTTCTAGTGAATTTAGTTGGTTCTATTTCCCAAAAACATATACAAACTAGTAGCTGAAGGTAAGCCACTGTGACCACTATCCCACAAGCTTCATATCTGACTGCTTGCTTGTGCCCACATGAAAGTAATTACCAACTAGCATCCCTAGAATCCCAGTCACAAGGCACACTACTAGTCTCACCCAGAGGCCTTGAGAACCTTTCTGGCAAGCGCTCCTCCTATTCATATCTCTGTTTGTGTGAGTTTAGAACACATTATCTCTTCAATCATCATAATATATTAATATTCTGTTACATTCCAAGTTTCTATTCTGCTGAGTGTGACTGATCCATGCATATCACATTTCCAATTTATTGGGTGCACTTACCTTGAGAGGATGGGTTATGGTCAGCGATTGTAAAAAAACCCAAACAAAAAACAAACAAACAACAACAACAACAACAACAAAAAAACAGGTGCACACCTGTGTATGTCATATGAATAAAGTTAGAACTAGAGCAACAAGTACTAACCCCAACCATCACTCTAACCTTAACCAGTGAAACCTTAATGTATCAGTTTCACTAACAATTAAATTTGCAGAGAAGTAACAAGCAATGATCTGCTCAATTTTTTTTTATTCAACTGGATTATACTGTAGATGCTAATGTTAATGGTAATTAATTTCCATGCAAATTCTTATATATGAGTCTCAAACATGACACAAGCTCTGCAGGTTTTATTAATACTTAAGTAGGTGACTGGTGTGTGTTTTCAGACTTCACAATTAATTTTAATAAAAACAGTTGTTCTCAATAACCATCCTGGTAAACATTAATGCTACTCATCAACTTATAATATTAAAGAAATATAAAAAAAAATTGCACAATGATCACCTGACTGAATGTAGTCAATCAGCTGAAATGTGCTATATGATGGACATTTGTCCACTGGTTTCACTGGTTTTCCAGTGGAACTACAACGCCAATGTAGCTGACAAATAATGGAAGGGTATCTCACTCACCCTCTTTCCCATACATACATTCTCAAAACTTTATATACAGTATTTGATCCAACAAACAAGCACCATAAAAACATTTTTAACCCCTTTGAAACCAAACCAGAAGGAACAGCGAATGCTTCTACGTCTCATTCTTATAATTGTAATACTGGCTTAATCATTTCCCATGTTGTTTCTGGATAATAGGGTTTATTCTACATGTAAAGGAGCACATGGACTATTTCGTAAAATAGCACAGAAAGTCCATATTTGGGAAATTAAGTCTGACTTGGAACTATATTAGCATCCACAACTTCCATTTCTAATTAGTTATCTTGTCCTCAAACCTAAAAAAGCAAACTTTGGTGACTAAACATGAGTAGGTTTGGGGTAAGGGGAACATTGTGTACATCTGTTGGGTATACTTGTGCCCAGCTGTTCGTCCTTCATGAATGTAATGATGTGTTAGGACAGGAACTACACTAAAATATGCAGTGCATCCTGTCCTCAGTACTGGGACTGAGAATCATGGCAATTACAACATAATACATTTTTGCATGGCATGCTCATTTGAAGGAAGTGGTGCACAGTCCACTCCTGCTTGACGTCTATCCAGTGTCTGCCACTATCAGCAGAGTTGGACTGTGACATTTTCACACATCCATCTGACACATATAATAAGATTGAGATGATTGGCATTGGAGTTATCTCTCACTGGCTCCTGAAGGTAACTCTAAGACACGTAATATTACAAATATTATCCAGTAATTCAAAAGCAAGATCATTCTTTAAATAGAGCTTTGTCAAACATATGTAGACTTCTCTGGTGGATATAGCATCATTTGTAGCTGTGTAGTTGTGTGATTGTACTGTTTGAAATAAGCGGAAATTCTATTTTACAGGACATCACAGAAAATGTATGTACTGTGCCAGGGCTTGAGGTCTGTTTCTTGGCCAGAAGCCAGGACTTCTTAACACTTCATTAATTTACATAGACATTACTTCTTATGGCAAAAATTATCGTGAATTTTCCAGCTCCTTTGTACATATAGGCACAGAGAAAAATGTATACTTATTATGTGACAGAAAATGTAATGGGACATTACACTTTAATATTAAGTAAAAAAAAAAAATCGAATTAAAGATTTGTGTGAATCTTTCAACAGAAACTTTGCAGATGATTCCATTAGGACAAAAAGAAGAGAAAAGAGAATGAAACAAAAAAGGTATGAAAGTTCTGTGACTTATTTAACTCTTCCCTTTGAGAAAGAGTGGTATGACACTGTTGAGATAAAAATATAAAAGATATATATTTAACTTCATTAACTTTATAAATATTATTTGTACCACAGATAGAGTAGAGAGAGCGTTGGCAGTTTTTTCATTAACTGTCATTTAACAGTCATGTATCTGGCCACACTATAATGACCTTGATGAATGGCAGAATCCCAAGAGTATATGACCTGAACTTTCTCATTCATGAGAGCTGAGTAGCTGCTCAGCACATACTCTGTGATGTCACACACACATGAATACACCCACACACACCCACACAAATGCACTTATTCACCAGAACATAAAGCTTTTTACTGCCTGTCCAATACAGCACATTGTATAGTGGATATATGTTTTAATATTTGATGAACAGATATGTAATTCCATGCATGGGAAAACAGAGGCTTTATTCCCTTGATTTTCTTTGACACAAGGGCAGGATGTCAGCTTGAAGGTATTGTACACAATCTACACAGTACTCTCCATCACCCACTCCGAGCCCTCCAGAGTGCCCCTGCTGCTAGCCATGTCATCCTTGAGCAACATACCATTGATGGATAGGCTACGTTTGGTCCAGACACCACTGATTGATGTTGCAAACTCACCCGCATCAAATGAGTGACTCCGTCTGAACTTGGAGTCCAGTGTCCGGCCCAGCAGAGGCTCCTTATCATTAGGGG